GCGGTATGCCTACATTACCCCGCTAGTTCGAACCTAGTTCGAACTACCATTACTCCTCGTGGAATGAGGAGTAACGGTAGTTCGAACTAGGAAGCCTAGTTCAAACTACCTAGTTCGTGCCGCGTGTAGCCGCGCGGCACGGGGTTCGAACCAGCCAGGATTTAAAAATGGCGGCGCCCGGCTTATGCAAATGAAGCCCGGGAAATTCAAATCCCGGGCTTCATTTGCAAGTGCGGTATGCCTACATTACCCCGCTAGTTCGAACTAGCAGGGTAGTGTAGACATACCCTGAGAGAAGACCAAAAGAACTGGGCTTGTTTAGTTTGGAAAAGAGAAGATTGAGAGGGGACATGAGAGCAGCTTTCAAGTACCTAAGAAGATGTTACAAGGAGGTGGGAGAAAAATTATTCTCCTTAACCTCTGAGGATAGGACAAGAAGCAATGTGTTATGCTTATAAGAAGCACACTGGATCCCTTTCAGCAGCGGTGGATTTAGGGCAGGGCGAGGCCCCACACATGCGCTGTGTCAAAGGAGGGGCCCTGTGAAATTTCGCTGCCCAGGGCCCTGCAGCACTCTCATCCGCCCCTGCTTTTCAGGGGAAAAGGCAATACGCTGCATTTAGGCTACGTCTAGACTGCAGGCTCCTTTCGGAAGGAGCTTTTTTCGGAAGATCTCTTCCGAAAAAACTTTTTCCGAAAAAGAGCGTCCACACTGCCAAAGTGCATGGAAAAAGCGATCTGATTTTCGAAAGAGAGCGTCCACCCTGATTGGACACTCGCTCGCATTTCAGCTGTGATTGCTATGGACGGAGTGGCCACCAGCGCATCTGTGCTTTGTCCTCTTCCCTCTTCTTCCGAAAGAACTCCTCTTCCCCGTCCACACACGCCTTTTTGCAAAAGAGCTCTTTCACAAACAGGCTTCTTCCTCCTAGAATGAGGATTACCAATGCCAGAAAAACCCTCTGTTCTTTCGATTTTCTTGCGGAAGAACGCAATTGCTGTGTGGACGTTCCTCAAGTTTTGTCGGAAAAACGGGAAGTAGGTCTGGCCCACAAAAGCTCCTCATCTAATAAACCATCTTGTTAGTCTTTAAAGTGCTACATTGTCCTGCATTTTGCTTCGATCCGGACTGACGCTCTGATGTTGACAAGACGAGACCCGGAGATCCGTGCTAGACACTCCATCTTTTATAGGACTTTTCTGCCATTCAGGTCTATGCCTTTTGCTTCATTAGCTCTTAATCAATCACCATCTGTTCTGCTTAATATCTGTTTATCTGGGAGTTACTCTTTACTCTGACATCCGTATGTTGGTGTCTCCTTCCCAGTGTTATTTCAAGGCTGTCTTGTTTGTAACAGCGCTTGCTTCTTAACACTCCAAGGCCGCTCATATGTCCTCTGTCGGTTTGCTTTGTATCGGACCCAATTTATGGTACCGTGACGCCTCTGAGTCTTCCAGCCCCTCCCTTCTTCCCCGTCTGGACTCTGAAACTGTTCGGCCTACAAGTTGTTTTCTCTCTAAACACTCACATTCCATTCCCTCCCCCTCCGCAGCAACTAGACAATCATGCCACACACGGGAAAAGGGACACAATTGTTCATACAAAAGGTATCAACCTAACTCCTAATGCAAAGCTTCTACTACTACAAACTTTTAATTCATTCATTATATTTTCTTTATCACACAACCTACAGTCTAATTACACTTAAGAGCAGCAGTGTGATCATGTTAATTCACAAGAATCCTTCTGATCTCTTTCTCTCTTGACATCAATTTGCTTGATGGATGGTTATTATGGGCCTAGCCTGGCTTTCCCTGCTAACCAGAGAAGGGCAACCAGCAGAGTTACAGTTGTTTAACATTCATTCTCATACTACCCATGAAGCACTTTACATAAAACATTATAAAACTCTGTTGTCTGCAAAGGAACTTAAATTTCAGCAAGGGAGGTTTAGGTTGGACATTAGGAAAAACTCCTGCCTGTCAGGGTGGTTAAACGCTGGAATAAATTGCCCAGGGAGGTTGTGGAATCTCCAGCACTGGAGATACTTAAGAGCAGGTTGGACAGACACCTGTCAGGGATGAACTAGATGGTGCTGGGTCCTGCTGCAAGAGCAGGGGCCTGGACTTGATGACCTCTCGAGGTCCCTTCATAAGAACAGCCAAACCAAAGGTCATCTAGCCCAGTATCCTGTTTGCTGACAGTGGCCGGTACCAGATGCCCCAGAGGGAGGGAACACAACAGGTAATCCTCTCACGATCCCTCTCCTGTCGTCCATTTCCAGACAAACAGACGCTAGGGACACCATCCCTACCCAGCCTGGCTAATAGCCATTGATGGACCTAACCTCCATGAATCTAGCTAGCTCTTTTTTGAACTCTGGTAAAGTCCTAGTCTTCACCACATCTTCTGGCAAGGAGTTCCACAGGTTGACTGTGTGCTGAGTGAAGAAAAACTTCCTTTAGTTTGTTTTGAAACTGCTGCCTATTCATTTCATTTGGTGACCCCTAGTTCTTATATTGTGGGAACAAGTAAATAACTTTTCCTTATTCACTTTTTCTGCACCAGTCATGATTTTATAGACCTCTGTCATATCCCCCCTTAGTCTCCTCTTTTCTAAGATGAAAAATCCCAGTCTTTTTAATCTCTCTTCATAAGGGAGCCGTTCCAAACCCCTCAGCATTTTTGTTGCCCTTTTCTGAACCTTTTCCAATGCCAAGAGATCTTTTTGGAGATGAGGCGACCACATCTGTATGCAGTATTCAAGATGTGGGCGTACCATGGTTTTATAGAGATGCAATGAGATATTCTCTGTCTTATTTTCTATCCCTTTTTTAAAGACTCCTAACATTCTATTTGCTTTTTTTTCTGCCGCTGCACAATGAGTGGATATTTTCAGAGAACTATCCACAATGACTCCAAGAGCTCTCTCTTGAGGAGTTGTAGCTAAATTAGTCCCCATCATAGTGTATGTCTAGTTGGGATTATTTTTTCCAATGTGTATTACTTTACATTTATCACCATTACATTTCATTTGCCATTTTATTAAGCAGTCACTTAGTTTGGTGAAACCACAGACCAGTCAGCTTAACTTCTGTGCCAGGGAAGATAATGGAGCAAATAATGAAGGAATCTACCTGCAAACACCTGGAAGAAAATGAGAGAAGTAACAGCATGGATCTATGAGAACAACTGAACCTGACAGCTCCTTTTGCTAGAGTCACAAGGCTTGTGAATAAGGGGGATGAGGTAGATGTGGTTACCTAGACCAGGTGTGGGCAAAAGGGCTTCTGTGAGCCAGATCCAGCCCGCCAAGCGGGTTGATCCGGGCCGCAGAAGTCCTGCTGCCCCCCGCCCCCAGGCCAATTAGAGCACAACGTTTCCTCCACCCTGCCAGGCCTGGGGGCAAAAGGGGGAGCGTGCAAAGTCTCCTCCCACCGCCAGGGGCATGGGCACCAAGGGGGAACTTCTGGGGGGGAGGCAAAGACTTCAGCTGTTCTCCCACCCCTAGGCCAATCATGGTCCGTGAGTGGGGAAGCAGGGAAGTATCCTCGCCCCACCCCTTCTGCCTGAGGATGAAGTTTAATAAGGACAAATGCAAAGTGCTCCACTTAGGAAGGAACAATCCGTCCCACACACACAGACTGGGAAGTGACTATCTGGGAAGGATACTGCAGAAAGGGATCTGGAGGTCATAGCAGACCACAACCTAAATATGAGTCAACAGTGTGACACTGTTGCAAAAAAAGAAGCATACCTGATTCTGGGAGGTACTAACAAGAGTGTTGTGAGCAAGACACGAGAAGTCATTCTTCCGCCCTCCTCTGCGCTGATTAGGCCTCAGTTGGAGTAGTGTGTCCAGTTCTATGGGCACCACATTTCAAGAAAGTCGTGGAGAAATTGGAGAGGGTACAGAGAAGAGCGACAAGAATGATTAAAGGTTTAGAGAACATGACCTATGAAGCCAGGCTTCATGGTCCAGATTCAGCCGCTGTTTGTGCAAGAGGGCTTTTGTGCAAGAGGGCTTTTGGCCGAATGGGAGCAGCATAGCATTTCCGCAAGAACACTGACAATCTTACATGAGATCGTCAGTGTTCTTGAGGAAATTCAAGCAGCCAGTGTAGACAGCTGACAAGTTTAACTGCAAAAGCAGTTGCTTTTGCGGAAAAACTTGCCAGTCTAGACGCAGCCTATGATTAATTTCACATTACTTGTAGCAACTTAACTCCCAGTAGCACTGGAAATCATCGTTACCGAGCAGCGGCTATTTACTAATGTGGTTCCTTGAAACAGGCTTGGCTCCCCTCACACTTCAAATTGTGCAAACTAGAGATGTGTTTCTTTAAAGTCATATCAGAACTACCATCAGAGTAACTGTATGGCTCTGTAAGAAAAAAACAACAACAAAACAAAACAAAACACCCAACCCACCAAACCAGTGTTTATAAACAGGAGAGAGTTGTGCTCATAAAACTAAACAGTGCAGCAATTTTAGTGTGACTAAGATGTCATGCGGCTGTACCAAGTACAATGAGGTTTTGAAGCTATTACGCTATAGTACAGTTTTTGCAATGCCTTGTGCGGTTCAGATAGTTCAGTCACACCCAGAGACGCGCTCATAAACATGTAGGCCACTGTTGGAAGACAGACAGGATACAGGGCTTGCTGACCATTGTATGGCCGTTTTTATGTTCTAGCACTCATAGAATCCTAGGGCTGGCAGAGACCTCAGGAGTCACCGAGTCCAGCCCCCTGCCCAAAGCAGGACCAACCCAACTCAATCAACCCAGCCAGGGCTTTACAACCTCTAGGGATGGAGATTCCACCCCTCCCTCGGGAACCCAGCCCAGCGCGTCCCCACCCGCCTAGGGAAATCGTTGTTCCTAATCTCCAACCTACACCGGCCCCTCTGCAGCCTGACTAAGCGCTGATGCTCCTGATGCGCATGTAAAGTGTCTGCAGAACCGTGTCCGTTCCCCCAAGAGCGAAGGCCACGGGGATGTTTCGTGGCCGCGTGGCCCAGCAGCAAGTCAGCAACGGCCCCGTGCTTCGGTCCGCCCAGGGGATCCCCGATGCGCATGTAAAGTGTCTGCAGAACCGTGTCCGTTCCCCCAAGAGCGAAGGCCACGGGGATGTTTCGTGGCCGCGTGGCCCAGCAGCAAGTCAGCAACGGCCCCGTGCTTCGGTCCGCCCAGGGGATCCCCCGTCCTGGGGAGTTCTGCAGATGTGGGGCTGGGCACAGGGCTCTCCGCAGCTGTGCGCCCCCCCCCC